GGGATCCCATGGGAACAACTGGCCCAGACAGACCAGAGGCTGCCTCTGAAGCATGGATGGAGAAGTGTTTGTAGCAGGTCCAATTAGACAACAGAGGGCTGCCAGTCTTGGAGACCTGAACTAATGTGGCCTGGGAATATCTGGGGCCTTTGGCCTCAGCTTGCAAAGGGCAAGCTTCAGTCCTCCTGCAAGTGCTTGGCAAGCAGTGTCAAAAGCTTTTCTGCCTCAGTAATCAGCACATCAAGTCCTCATGATGTCCATGACCAAAGGCTCCTGCCTGGCACTGGAGGTGACCTTTACCACCAGTGTCGGAGCAGGGGTGCTGGTGAGGCTGATGGCGCTTCAGCAGATCCTGGGCCAAAAGTGGGCGGTGGGATGGCTCCCCTGAGTAGCCTCTGACCTGTTAGGGCCTCTTGGGTGAGAGCTGCAAGGCCTTCAGGTGTGGTGGGAAACCTCCTTTGGGGGCCAGATGGGCTCCAAGGAAACTAAGACTTATGTCTCCCCCTGCCTGGGTGGCTGCAGGCTCAGGTGAATCCTGGGGCAGTTATGGTGGATTTGTCTTTATAGCATCCTCTTCCACGTGGTACCCAGAGAGCCATCAAACACAGGCACGCAGGCAGGGCAGATGCCCCCATCAAGCCAATAAGAGGAGTCGCCACTGATTACATTAGGTATTTTTATGTGAGTAGCTACTATGCTAGCTTAGAAGTCAGAACCCACCAAGACTGCCCGTTGTAGGACGTGGAGCATTTTCCACCAGAGAATATCCAGCTGTTCTCTGGCAAGTATTACACACAAAACATGAGACAGGAGCCCCAAGTAGGATCTGTGGTTTGTTCAGCACATCCAAGTGCCTCACTAGAACATAAACTCCACGGATGTTCTCCATGGGGAGGTGATGGATTGTGCCTGCAATTGCAGCCTCCAAGCCTAGCGGCATACCCAGCACACAGTAGGTGCTCAGTAGCTGTGGTTCAAAGGATGAACGCAGGGACTTCCCTGGTGGCGCCATGGTTAAGAACCTGTCTGCCAATGCAGGGGACGCGGGTTCGAGCCCTGGTCCAGGAAGATCCCACGTGCTGCGGAGCAACTAAGCCTGTGCGCCCCAACTACTGAGCCTGCGCCCTAGAGCTCGCGAGCCACAACTACTGAGCCCGCGTGTCACAACTACTGAAGCCCACGCGCCTAGACCCCGTGCTCCGCGACACGAGAAGCCACCACAGTGAGAAGTCCATGCACCGCAACGAAGAGTAGCCCCCGCTCGCCGCAACTAGAGAAAGCCGGCACACAGCAACGAAGACCCAGCGCAGCCCAAAATTAATTAATTAATTAATTAATTAAAATTTCTTAAAAAAAGGATGAATGCAGTGCTCACCGGGCAACCTCTCTTCTAATCTTTATGGCCACCCCATGAGATAGGTGATCATCATTCCCATTTTACAGACAAGGAGACTGAGGCTCCGAGATGTGAGGACTTTCCCAGGGCCACAGCCAGGGCAGGGCACAACAGACCCTGAGCTGGTTCCACTGCCTCCAAGGCACACCAGCTGAGTGAGTGACTGAGGCCGTCTGGTTCTTTTGTGGGTGGCGAGCATGTGGAATGGAGCCCTGGGCTGCCTTGGTCCCTCTGGGGTCCTGAACCTGGGCCCAGCAGAACAGGATGGGCTGCCCTCCCAAGGTGGGCAAAGGAAACCTAGCAGAAAGAGCCAGGCTGAATTGCCAAGAAGACGCACAACTTTTAATCATGCTGGACAAGCAGGGCAGGGGTGAAGTCGGGCTGGGGGTGGTTGTACAGGACCAGTCTTCACGGCACCGGGTCAGGCCCTGCTGCCATCCCCCAGCCATGCAGCCATGGCTCCCCTGGCTATGAGTAAGCACCAGAGACCACCACCGGAGCCACCTCTGTCCCGGAGTCCGCATAAGCACCAATGGGCGGAGGCCGTCTCCCTCTCGGGGGAGGTTCGGGCCACCTGGGGTTGCGGGAGGGGAAGGCTGGGGGCCACCAGGCTGTCCCACCCTGGGAGAGGGGGAAGGGACAGAAGTCCTGATGTCCCTCACTTGGCCTCAGCCTCGCCCAGAGCCTCCCTTGGCATCATGGCTCAGAGGAGGGTCCCCCCAATTGACCTGGAACTTTGCTCGCTTTGGTTCCCCAGACCTGCTGAGGGGTCCAAAGCCCGGTGCCCTCTGTTGTGGCTCATTGCCCGGCAGCATTTGTAAAGGCAGCAGCAGGCCAGAGGCGGCTCTGCTGGGCAGGAGCTGCCCACCCGGGGCCTCAGCACCTGGAGAGCCGGAGGCACTGGGCTGGCGAGAGACACCAAGGAGGTCAGAGCACCTGGGGACAGACGTCAGTGTCTGACAGTGGCTGGGAGCCTGGGAGAACTGAGGCCCAGGCACCTTTGGCAAAGCGGGCTGAGCACGGCCCTGACAGCCGCCCAGTAGCGGGTCAGGGAGGGCGTGTGCTGAGGAGGGTAGGAGCCCTCACAGGCTTCCATTCCAGCCGTGTGGGGAGCTATGGGTCTGGGCCCCCTTACCCCAAAATGCCCCCTAACCCCTGGGTCCTCTCCTCACAGCACCTTTCCCCTGACCAAGGCCCCCCTGGGTTTGCTTTAATGATGGGCATTGGGCAAAAAAGAAAGGAACAGGCAGAGAATAACCCCCACCTGGGGTACCCCATCCTGCCAGCCTTGGGGAGTGGTGGGTAATGGGGGCCACAGTGCCTGAATGCCCAGAACACAGACTTGTGTGATCAGAGACCCATGTGTTTCTCCGGGTCTGGTTTCAGAATCTGTGTCTCCCCACCCTGGCTGGACTGGGTGCTCACCGAGAGCAGGGCCTGTGTCTGGTTCACCTCAGCCTTCCCAGAGCCTGGCACAGAGCGGGAGCTCAGTAAGTGTTTGATGACTGAATAAATGAACTGCGGCTGCACAAGTCGGGGTGCAGACAGGAGTTCAAGGAGAAGGGAGAAGGCGCAAGAGACAAGAGGAGGGGGTGTCCTAGAAGGGTGAGAGAATTTAAGGATGTTGGGAAGATTCTAGAATGTTTGGAAGATTCCAGAATGTTGTGAAAGTTATAGGACCTGGTTACTCAAGTGGGGTCCATAGACCAGCATCACCCAGGAACGTCCTAGAAATGCAAAATCCTGGGCCCGCGCCACACCTGCTGGATCAGAACCAGCATTTTAGCACAATCCCTGGGTGATACAGATGCACATTCAAGTTTGAAAAGTGCTGGTCTAAAAGGTTGGGAAAGTTCTAGAAGATTTAGGTTAGGAGTTTTCTGAAAGAGAGGAGAGAGGCAGGAACAGACTGAGAGGCAGGAACAGACTGGGAGGGTGATGGAGGGAAGGAAAGAGGAGGAAGGCTGCCCAGAATGCCTGGTCCCAGGGCCAACTTTACAGACAGGCAAACTGAGGCCCCGCAGGGCACAGACCTGCCCGTGGCCACCCCAGGCCAGAGCTGCCCCACAGGAGGCACTAATCGTCCTCGGGCTTGATGAGATGGCCGCTGAAGGTGATGTAGGTGTCGATGTCGTCGCTGTAGACAGCATTCTCACGCTCACGCTTGAAGAGCCGTGCCCAAACACGGTCGCCGGGTGCCAGGGCCAGCATCACACTCTGGCTCTGCATGATGCTGCGGTCGCTGGGCTGCGCATACAGGATGACGGCTGCCTCGTCGTTGTGCACGACGTGCACGTAGGTCTCCTTGAAGTTCCAGCTGTGCACGTTGAGGCTGAAGAAATAGAGGCCGCGCAGGGGGGCGACGAAGTGGCCGGCAGCCAGGTTGAAGTGCCCGTCCGGGTTCACAAAGACCGTGTCGAAGAGCAGCGGCTGGAAACCCTCGCTGCTGTGCAGGGCCGTCTTGCGGCCCACCGAGAAGGCTGAGAAGCGCGTCTGGCACGGGCCGCCAGGGCTGCCTGCTTGCCCCTTGGCGCCCTTGGTGCCCTGGGGGCCGCGCTCCCCCCGGGGGCCCTCCCTGCCCAGCTTCCCGGGCGAGCCCAGCAGGCCTCGGTCCCCTTTGTCACCTGCGGAGACAAAGAGGAGAAAAGTCAGGGCAGGCACCCATGCCTGCACCCAGGGGGCTCCTTAGCGTTTGCAGAAGGCTCGCCCCTGCCCAGAGACGGCAGAGGCCAGAGAAGAGCCAGCACCTACTGAGCACCTGCTGCATGCCAGGCATCGCCACCCCGAGCGCCCCTCTAAAGGAGACACCATGTCCACCTCCCCTCACAGAGAGGTGAAGGGGCTCTCCCGGTGGCACAGCTTGGGAGCAGGACCCCAACTGCGGTCTGTCTCCACGCCAGCCTGCTCCCTCCTCAGCAGTGAGGGTCTGACTGTGGTCTCTGCCAGACCAGGCCTGGACCCCAGGTGTCACTGCACCCAGCGGGACTCCAGGGTGATGTGGGCGTGGCATTTCTGCCCCAGAGAAGGGATCACCGGGAAGGAAGTGTCCAGAGTCGGAGCCAGGAGGCCCTTGGTGGGCGTTACCGCCCCTCTGCACGACCTGGGGCCTTCATGTTGGTGTCTTGGGAATTTTTTTTGTCTGTATCTTGAAGCGGATCATGCTTGCCTCACAGGGATGTTCCTGAGCCCTCTGGGAAAGCACCAGGTGAACTCTGCAGATGCGAGGCAGGACGATTCACTCAGCACTGCCCAGCCCACCTCCCCCTGCCCTGGGCTCCGGCAGCATCTGCCCTGGTTCCCAGCAGGCACGCCTCTGGCCAGCCCTTGTTCCAGGCTGACCTTGAACGCAAGAAAAGCAGGTGATCACCTACTTTTTATTTTTTTACCACCTACTTCTTGAGGGGCCAGATCCCAAATATTTCCCTGCTGCCTGTCATAGAGCCTCAGTCACACCCTTAGCCACATCCCTCTGAGTGAACTAGACAGCCCTGTGTTGTCCCGGGGTCCCCTATGACCACGGCAATGCTGCTGGGAAGAGGGGAAGAAGGGACAGAAAAGAGGACACAGGTCCTCGGAGGAGAAGCCTGGAGAGAAGCAGGGAGGAGGGAGTCCATGGCTCTGTGGAGGTCTTCCTCACTGGCTCGTTGGTGAACTACCTACCTCATCATGTGCCCTGCACTTTACAGTTTGCAGAGCACTTGCTTCGCCCCAGCCCCAAGGGAGGGTGTGAAGGGTAGTTATAAGAGGGGGTTACCTTCTCCTTTTTACAAATGAGGCAGCAAGCCCAGGGAGGGAGAGACAAGCCTGCGCCACACAGCAAGGGAGCTGAAGAGCTGGGGCTGGGACCCAGGACTCCTGACACCAGCCAGACGCCTTCTGCCCAGCAGGCAGCTAGCCTGTCCCAGGAGAGGTGACATGGGGTTTTAAGGAGGATAGTGAGGGGAGAGTTCAGTCAGCATCCAAGCACCTCGTCAACCTCACACAGAGGGCTCTGTTGGCCTTGGGGAAGCGGTGATGTGTGAGGTGGTGGGCAAAGTAGGGAGAGGACAAGAGGGGTCCTCAACCACAAAATCTGAAGGCCCCAGGGTCTCAGGTGCCAGCTGACCCTCTGAAGTCCTCGGCAACAAATCCTAGCTCTGCCCCTAACAGGTGTGTGACCCCAGGAGAGCTCCTCCCCTCTCGGAGGCTCAGTTTCCCCATCTGCAAAGTGGGAGGAATGACAACATACTGAACTTGCGGGGTTGTCGTGAGCAAAGACAGAGGTTAAGGATGTCAAGGTCTGGCCCCAGGACCAGCCCTTCACAGCCCCCAACAGCAGAAGTTGCTTCCTTGAGATCTGGTTTTAGAGGACAGGCAGCCAGCTCTCGCCTGGGTGGTCCTAGTGGCCCCCACGGCTCTCCCTGATTCTACCCTTGTCTATTCTCCACAGAAATTAGAGTGCTCCATTTGAAACCTAAGCTGGGCCAGGTCCCTCCTCTGCTCAAACCCTCCCCCACTCCCCATCTCACTCAGAGGAGGAACCCACATCTGATCTGTTTTGTCTCCAACCTAGCTCCTCCCCTTGCCCCCTGTTCCTCAAACACATGAGGTCCGCTCTGGCCCCAGGGCCTTTGCACCTGCTATGCACTCTGCCTGGAACGCTCTTCCCCAGATACCCACGTGGCTTCTCCCCACCTTCTCAGTGAGACCTACACTGACCACCCCCATTTAATATGCAACCTGCCCCCGACAGCTGCACTCCAGACATCACTTACCCTGCTCCACCTCGTCACTTCCATAGCATTTATCACCATCCATCTCATTAACTTGGGTGATATGTTTTCTGCTCACTGTCTGCCTCCCCCACTAGAACAGAAGCTCCACAGCGGTGGCATCTCTCTCTGATGTGTACACGCTCCATCCCAGAATTCAGAATGGTCCTGGTATGCAGTAGGTACTTAATAAATGTGTAAATGAAAGAAAAGGTCTGGGACAGTTTTCTGTCCTGGTTTCTTCTGCTCCTTCCACCTCACCTCCCTGAGCCCAGGAAGAGAGCCCCATGCCCTCCCTGTCCCCGACCGGGCCAGTCCAGCCCAAGCCACGTGTGGGTCCTCACCCTTCAGGATGGTGATGTTAATGTAGGGCCTGACCTCAGGCAGCATGTACGGGAGGGCGGACGGAGAGGCCAAGGACGCGTGTGCAGCATCAGCAAGGACCAGGGGGTCCTCAGAGTCACAGCACCGTCGACAGAGCCCAGGGGAACTAGAGGCCACGGCTTCCCCAGAGGTGGGCTCCTCGGTGGGGATTCCAAACACAGAGAGAGGGGGCACGAGCACTGCCCAGAGGAGGCCCAGGGCAGCTATCCCCATGGCGACCTGGAGCAGGGAAGGAGGGACAGAAATATATTACCTTGACATCTACACTCTGCTGATGCCCAGCGTGGACGCCACCACCCACAGCATGTGTGCTCCTGACATAACTCGGGGAGGGGGCATTAGTGCCCCCATCTAACAGATGAGAAGACAGAGGCCTACACAGGGAAGCAGGTTCTCAAGGTCACAAAGAGGTCACAAAGAGGTTCACAAAAGCAGGTTCTCAAGGTCACAAAGAGACTTGTGGTAGTGCAGGGCCTGGAGGCTGAGTTTCCTGGAACCCAGTCCCTGGGCATCTCTGGCACACATGGGCCCACGAAGGAGGACCCCCTCTGAAGACGAGGGTCCTGGGAGGCCTTTGCTGGGGTGGGTGAGGAAGGTGCCCTGCTGTCCACGTGTCATAGCCAATGAGACTGTAAAATGTTTTTCCCACCCTCCCAACCTCCCTCTGGCTTGTTTTCTTGCCCCAGAGACTCCACTGCCACTGGAGGGCAAGGTAGAAGAAGATGCCCCTCAGGACGGACAAATTAGAAACAAACAAACAAAAGAAGTCCCTGCAGAAATGCACGCTGAAGGTGCGTAGCTGGTCTCAGCCCACCTCCTCTCTCAGCATGTTTGTGCAGTCAACAACCTACCAACTCAACCTCACACAAGAAGCCCTGCAGGGAAAGGAGCAGGAGAGAGTAAATTCATTGGAAGGTGGTTGTGTCAATCATCATAGACCTGCCAATCAGCTGCCAAGGTGGTAAGTTGGAACTAAGGGGCAGGACCCAGGAGGTCTGGAAAATTCAAAAGGAACAGGGAAGCCCAGTGGTTTGTGAGAATCTGTCTTTGGCCTTGGCCAAGAAGGGATCCAGTGTTCACGGAGAGGGTTAGAAAGCAGCCTGGACAGCAGTGACTGGAGACAAGCCGGGGCTGGGTGGGCAGGAAGCCAGGCAAAGAGCCTTTGAGGTGGTGGCAGTCTTTGGGGGCTGGCACTGAGTTATCGCAGGATCAGAAACACTTTTGAAACCAGACTGGTTTTTACACTTCTGGGGTTCTTTGTTTATTTCCTTTTTGTTCTCCTTTAACATTTAGTACAATTTAAAAATATTTTTCTGTGGTTAATATGTGTAGAGAAGGTAAAATTATTATTTTTTTTTAAATGCCATTCTAACCTAACCTGAACACTGAGGTAGGAGTTGGGTTTTAAAGGGGCAGGAGCCCTCCCCCGCAACAACCCCCTCCCCGCTCCCTGGGGGCTGGGTAGTAGCAGGAGAAGAGAGGGGTGGGCAGGCAGTCTCCAGGGCCATCACCCCTCTCCTGAAGGTGACCATTCCCAAGCCTCTCCCACCTCCCCGGCCCCCGTTCTGCTTTCCTGGTTCTGCTCAATAAGGCACGTCAAATCTTCAGAGATCAATATCCCTTCTGCCCGAGATTATGACCCTTAGCTTTTATTTGTAAATTACGCAACCCAGTGGTTTTGAGAGGAGCAAAATCCCCTCTTTTTCTTCCCATAGATGTGACCTCACAGGAAAAGATGAGGCTTTGGAGTCAGACTTGAGATCCCAGAATGGTTTACAAGCTGTGTGACCTAGGGCTAGCGGCTTAACGTCTCTGGGCTTCTTGCTCCTTGACATTTACAAGGAGACAACACCACCTTCCTCCCCAGGTTATTTGGGAGGATTTAAATGTAGGG